AATGAAATCTATTCGTTAAATATGCAGTGAGATAAATGGTTTTTACTCTATGATGTCAGAATGACTTGTATGTAGGTACTTCTTAGAATTTAGTATCGTACTTCTTAGAATTTAGTATCGTACTTCAACACTGAATCTGTAATAGATTATGGTTTTGTATGATTATTCTAGATTAAATTTTGCAGGTCAGCTCAGAGGTGTGAAATTTTGTGTCTTCTTTCATATGACTACTAGCTACTATCGCGCGGTTTCACTCGCTGCTGGCTCCATTCGATCGTAGCTTGATGTTTTATAGCCTATAGCAGTCAGGCACATTGTAGCTACCTATCAATGAAAGAATTTTGGCAATCCGACCAGCGGTTACACAAATTAGACAACCTTCATACAAACTTACAAATTTTACCTCTTTGTAAATTAGTTAGATTTCACGTCACATCATCGCAACCTGTATTATTATTTTGAGCAAAGCCTCTCTATGGTGGTTGCGACGCAGGATTAACACCAAATATTAATGTTGCACTATGTTATACAATCATAGACGTGAGAGCCTAATAATTGGTGAAAATTGGGTCGTGCACTCGTCCTTCAGCCCTGACCATAGAACTCAAGGAGTTGGTTAGATTTGGGCCAGATAATGTTCCTGATATTATCGGTTGAAAATACAGCCATTGCATGATAACATGGGTGTCGCAAGCTATGGCTGGTAATGAATAGACCCTATAGACTCCTTGTGATATGAATATTGCTAATTGATTTATGCGGCAGAACAGTCAACAAGATTTTTTATTTTTCTTACATCAAGTTTGGCCCCACAAAGGAAACCTCTCTGGACTTTTTTGTGAGCAGGCGAGGCGTTTATTACAATATTATAAATTGACAGATTTTGTTGTACTAGAAAACGCTTTGATTTATCCGTGTACATTTTCGAAGTATTCATATACAAGGTTTGTAATTCTTCTGGCAGTTTACTATGATTATTTGCTACTATGTAATTTCTATGATTATTTAGACACCACTGATATACCTACGGTGAAGGTAAATGTCGTGAGAGACTGGACTTATAAATTCTAATTATAAGTTTGAAATCGCCAACCCGCATTGAGAAAGCCTGCTGATTAATGCTCTAACCTTCTTCGTATGAGAAGAGGCCTTTGCTCAGCAGTGGGCACTTATAGGCTGATGATGACGATGATGAATCTTCTCGCGTATGAAATCATAGTCTACGAATTTGGTAGCGCCCGAACAACACTGATCTTTGATGAAACTTAACCTGTATTGACCATCAGCGCAGTTGACACGAGTCTTGGATTGAATAGAATTAAGCTGTTAGCGACTAAACATGTTTTTTTTTGTATAATATTATTTTATTTGTATTTTGTTGGAAATACTTACCGCGTAAATAGACGGATTTTTTCTACAATTTTAACCGGTTTTAGTCTCCATGTATGTGGTATGAGGGGAACCGACCCCGGAATTGCAAACTAGACCCCTTGTTTGGAATTAGCAAATAATGAGTGAAAGTCGGATGTATTAGGTACCAGAAGATAATCGGGTAGACGGTTCCCCTGATGGTAAGCAATCCGCCCATACCAAAGTAGTGTGGAGGCGGAATTGTTTAACTTTCTTCAACAATGACTAAGTTAAAACTAGATTCTAACAAAAAGTTGCGAAACGCGCCCTAAATAGCTAGAACGTTGACATTTGGCACGACTTGAAAACAAATTAGTAAATAACTTGGTCAGTCCTTCATTTTACCCTCATTTTGCCCTCAATTTATTCCATATAATTATTCTTTTTTACATTATAAAAAGCTTTTTTGTATGGGGTTAATGAACTTTGTAAATGTCATGTGAACTACATATTATAAAGTGAAGAGAATGAATAAGGATATCATTAGTGAGTAGTTCTATTTTTAAAGTAATTAGTAACATTTTTGTTGTGTTACTTTTGTAAATAGGTTGTAGATAATTAATTATATCGGACCTAACATAATCTCTCGTCTTTTATACCTAACCTAAGGGTTGGTAGTCTGAGGTCATGCTCGGAAAGGAGTAGGTGGGGCGCGTGAGAAAATTAGTGCATAAACGCCCCTGCTGCCACAGGAGGAGACAATACGGGGCCCCTGCGACGATCTCCGACCAACGTGAGCGACCGGCCAAAATCAGACCCGAGCGTACCTACTTGCACCGCGTAGGGTATAAAATGTCAATTGAGATCTTAAGCTTTATTCTTGGGTTAATGCTGTAATATAGGATTTCGAAATCAAAATCGAAATCGAAATCGGTAGTATTATACCTAATACTTAAGTTGAAGAAATCAACTGAAATAGTATTTACCTAATAACGTTTTTATATACAACTAGCGGGCCGCCCCCGCTTCGCACGGGTCCAACTATCACTAAAACAATGAAAGGGTCACCTTTTCCCAAATTTCCCTACGATATTTCGAAAGTTTTCTTTGATAAGAACCTTCTCCTGGCCATAATAAAAACATCAAAAAAAGAATTGGCTAAATTGGTCCAGGCATTAGATTATTATGATAGAATTTATTCTTAGGTAGATTTTAACTACCTACTGTCACTCGGTTTCTCCTCTTCCTCCTCTTCTATTTGTTATAGCGAGATAGTTTAGAGCATATTAACCTTTCTTGATAACTGGACCATTCAACAAAAAAAAATGTTGTTCAAATTGACACAGTTCTTCATGACATAAGCGCGTTCAAACAAACAAAATGTTCACTTAAAAAAGTCGCTGCCCGCAGTCTATCCATGTATACTTACATTTTAAAAACTATGTACTTAACATATTTTGAAGTGGTTGTTATAGAGTGAATCAAGAACAAAGGTTGGTTGAGGATTGCGGCCAAAGTCGCGGGTATGAAGCTAGTCTATACTAAATTATAAAGAGGTAAAATTTGTAAATTCGTAAGTTTGTATGTAGCGGGTAATCTGTGGAACCGCTGATCGAATTTCCAAATTTCTGTCACTGATAGATAGCTACAATGTTCCTGATTGCTAAAGGCTATAAAAAATCACGCTACGATTAAATGGAGCCGGGCAGCGGGAAACCGCGCGAGAGTAGCTAGTCATATAATATGAGTCGATTACATAACGAAATAAACTATAGTACTAACATCCTAGGTTACCTAGATACCTCTGACATTGTTTGGTTATTGTTTATATTATTTCAATAAAAAATCCAATGCTCTTTGATGTCTACAGCAAAGATTGAAGATTAATTCGCTCTGATTCACCTGTAAAGTAATAAATAAACATTATTAATTTGAATTGAATTGAAAACACACGTAAGAAACTGTTTGTTGTGTAAATATATATTAACTTACAGGAAATGTTGAAAATGTTAAATACTTATATAATTAATTGTGCATTTATGATAAGTAGAAATTATTAGTTTTAATTACATTATGTATTGTAAATGTATAACGGTGATCGGGGATAGAGCGGATACAGTGCAGGCAATCTTAAATTAAGTGCAGTGTTCTCATAATTGTTGTGTGACTGGTAGTGGTTGCATATGAGGAGATTCAGGTCGAGTTTGGTGGCGTGTATTCCAGGTCTATGTGCAGAAGAGAATGGAATTGGACTGAGGATGATTAAATAAAAATTATAATGCAAATGTGAGGTTTATGAAAAATACGTAGTGTGTATTTTTGTACTTATATGTATATATACTTATATATTTAAAAAAAATATCATTGTATACCTAGGTATATGTATATTATATCAATTTCTTTAACATGCTTTTACAATTAACCGATCAAAGAAGTTGCTCAGGTCAAAAGAAATAATGATGATAATGAACATGTATTTTATTTTTATTTTACTAATTTTAGGATTCCTCAAGTATCGTAAATATTTTAATAAACATCTGATTACGCATAAACATTACACCCAGACCCGAAACAGCCATTTGAGGATCACACAAAGTGTAGTTCCGTGCAGGAATCGGGCCCGCGATACGTTGCATATAGCGATGAGAAAACATCTCATTGTTCTTATAAAGAACGACGAAAACCTCGTCACTTTATTATTAAAATGAAAATCACATCAACAAAGATACATCGCTGCCCAGGAAACGGGTGTTTAGTTAAGTTGTATGTAAGATGCTGACTCTCCTTCATAATCCACCCAGGGCAGCAGAAGTCTAGGAGAATATTAACGTCACCCCTCAAAAATAAAACAGTGCAATATATCAGAATTTCGTTTGTATTGATCGTGACAACCAGTATTCAACTGGAAGATTACATCACAAACACACGCAAAACACATAATACCTAATGTTTACGTACGTACAACATAAGGCAGTGCAATCAAACATAGATTAATGTTTTGTCAAACTAGTGCTCGACTTTCTACACGATAGCTGAAAGCCATAACATTTTACTTATCTTTACAGTAATGGTAAACTTATGTTACAAATATGAGAGTCACATAACATAACAATATGCCTCTTTATTCTAAAGACTAGCTGCTCTCGCGCTGTTTCACCCGCTGCTCGACTCCATTTAATCGTAGCGCGATGTTTTCGTCTATAGCACTCAGGAACATTGTAGCTATCTATCAGTTAAAGAATTTTGGTAATCCGAAATTTCAAAGATTACACCCTACATACAATCTTACGAAACCTCTTTATAATATTACTATACTTAGAAGTATATTAAAAGCCTAGTTCTGTGCAAGCATTTTCGCATTCAATTCAAAAGTCGTAAAAGCATTTTTTTTAATTTTCGTTCACAGTTCGGATTCTGGCATGTTGATCAGTTCAGGATTAGATTTCTTATAGCATTTAATAATTAATAACATGGTACGTACAACAAAGAATACTTATATCTAAATTAAATTCTACATAGGTATTGTGACCTAAACATAGCCAACAGTTTTAAAACAAAGCGGTAGTTTTCCTACCCTTAATTTCGTTTCGTTAGCTCGATACTGGGACGAGAAACCTGGCATTTAGGAAACGCTTGTGTAGTATAATCATCGCTGGTATCTATCTACCGTAGATGACGGTCGCGCGGTCGTATGAAACCCCGCTTCCGCTAATCGGTCCGCAGTCGCCGGTTGAGGTTTGCCGTTCATAAAGTCGCTGACTCGCGTAGCGATCGCATGTGTAGTGAGCTCCGAAACTACCGGAACATCGCGTCGGGAAAAGTTGAAGAAAAACGTTTTTCCAAATTTGAAAATTAAATAAAAAATCGTTCTTAATTTATTTGTGTGCATTATTCAAGTTTCAAGGATCAGTTACTGGCTGGTTTTTTTCGACATTGGACGAAAATTGTAAGTTGTTTTTTATTATTTATCTTTATTTTTATATGCAAATTATCCATGTAAATGATAATTGAAGCAAGTATAGGACATACCGTAAGACCAAAAGTATTATTTTCTTTTAAAAACCTACCTGTGTTAGCTGTAATCTTAATTATTGAAAATATAATTTGAAGATATTTTTATATCAAAAAACTGAGATAAGAAATTAAGAAATAATCAAAACCAGACAGGTAAGGTACGTTGGTGCAATTAAATCGAACATTTTCTTGTCACTACATTTTCAGAAGCAAAAAAAAAAACAATAATAGCCATGAAGATAATTTGATAAACGGACAACACTTACCTTGATATAAAAACAATAATACATAGGTACTACTTAAATATTTATCAAAATATAACATGTACCTAACAAAAAACATTATAAATTGACACTGCATGATATTGCAATTCATTCATTACCTAATTAATCTCTACGTAGTCTACGTAAATGCGTTCGATTCAATCGATCATTTGTTAATTTAATGAAGTAAAACTCATTTACTTTCGTAATATTTTACTGTTATTTTATGCGAAATTATTACAAACTACCTATTAACATATAACATAAAAATAATGTACTTTTACTGTCATACTCAAAGATATTTACCTAATGATTACTTAAACTGTTCCTTAGTAAGTAACGATTTAGTTTTGAAAAGAATTCTAAGAACTGAATTAAACACTTAAATATTTTTTTATTTGGGAGTTAGTACGGTTATTTAAGAAGTTTCTTAATGGTTTAGCAACAAGTAGAAAATAGTATCTAACCTATTCATCATTCTTCAATCTCCTAATTGACTCCAGACATAGTCATGTTGACAAACAAATAAATAAAAAAACCGTTTGAATACTGAGAACTTTAAAGAAAGACGAAGAAAAGAAACATTATTAAGCTTTTATAATATCTGCTAACAAGTATAGTAAGGTTTACTCTGAATAAATAAAACGAAACAGACAAAAAGAAAAAAAACTAGGTATAGCTACTAGGTTAGGTATAGCAATACAGCCAAACACTATAGAAACTATAGCTTAGTTGTGTAGAAGTGTACACAACATTTTTTAACTACATAAGGTAACAATAATATTATTTCACAACTTTTTTTTATCATTTTGTCACAAAGGTAATTGCGCTTACTCTTACTGCCTATGCGCTGTTGCAGTTATTCTATTGTCAGATAACACTATAATAGACCGATTATAACATTTGAATCCAAAATACAGACCTGTTCATCTACCTTGACGTTGTTCAATTAAAAGTATCCATTCATAAATTTATTTTTTTTATATTAATTTTCACGCAATATCTGTAGGTACCTATACGAATAATTAATAATTAAAGATGCTCTCCACAGCTTCCATAGCTCCACCACGTACCTATACATAAAAAGGTTTAAGTATATACAGTCGATTATTTTTTTATTCGTTCTTTATATCATATTTAAAATTGAATTGCAGTTCGTTAGTTTCGCTAAAACTCGAAAAAGGCTGAACCGGCCAAAAGGCACGGCTTGCTTAACGGAAATATAAAAAAATCAAATGTCGATTTTTATTTCATCAAGAACTAAACTGGGAAGGAAGTTTTTCATTGAAATTCTCAATTATTGCAAAACAATTTTATCTTTTATTCGATTATTTATCGTGTTAATTGCGTAAGCCGGCGTTGTATCAATAGATAATTGTATAATTATCAAACATAATGTTAATTTGCAGAAAATAAAGACCACGCTTACCCCCAGTATCTATTAGATAAAATAAAGAATTCCATAATAATTTATATGGATTACTTAATTATTTTTTTTATCTAAAAAGAATCGTAAATCTTTTCTTTTGAGATAAGTATTAAGTATAATATTTTTCTGCATTGTGCGGTTCTCGAATACCTGCTGATCTACTTGGTTCATTTGTACTTAGATCGAAATTATCTAATAGAAATTTTACTTGGTTTTAGATACCGTAATATTATTACCGTTATTGTATATAACAATGTTGATCTGTAAAAATCAGGATCGTAATTAACGCTCGAATCTAATTTTTAAATGTTTTCCAAAAAAGAAAATTAACAGAAAGATGTAGTACTAAATAAAGTTAAGCAAAGCGAATGATAACAATATTATTCGGGAATTTCCTCTGCAGCAGATTATTAGGTAGATCTAGGATAATAAAAGCCATAAGTAGGTACGTAGGTACTTACATTGAAAACAAACAGATTTAAATCACCAAACCCCAAGAGAACGCCGGAGTTCGCGCGCCTATTGTTCTTCTATTATATCTCTTATTACCACGATATACCTGACGAAAGGTCAGAATAGGCTATTCCCCGCTAAACTAACTACATACATATATAGGTACAACGTTGCCACCAGCACATCAAGTTACCCAAAGTACTACAAGCTTTTTAATAGATTTTTTACTTTACCGTCTTGAAATAAAGTTGAAAATTAATTATGCAATTACTCATCGATTCTCGCCAGCTCTTAAAAGTGCATTCCCTTCCGTTGGATTTATTTTTAGCCAGGAATGAGTTGGCTGCTCAGCTATACAGGTCTTAGTCAAGAGTCATGGTACTTATACTGCGTAGTAAACCAAACATTTTTATCAGTCGCGTAATTTTTTTCTTTGTGCTTTATTTTTAAAGTTGTGCAAATGAAATAATGCTGTTTGGGTAAAAACTATGATTGTAAAGAAAATTTTCCGAATACAAAATTTTATAAATATGGTGTAAAGTGTAAATATGTATACATATAATATCCTAAAGACAAAAAAAATATAAATTGCACTAATATAAGCTTAAAGAATGTACGTGGGATAAACTTTAAAGAAAGTTTTAACAATGATGTCTAGATAAATAAAGAAAAAGCTATTGTAAGTAAGTATTATGTGAACGCAGCCATGGCCTTAGCGCATTAGTTTGAATGAATTTTATGCGTTCCTTTGTTTTTAATTTTCCCACAGCAAATGTCATTTTTCGCGCCATAAATTCTGTCATTTAGTATGACGCTCACATTAAATTAAATATAAATTTTAATCATAATATTTAGTTTTTAGCAAAACGAAGAATGTAATAGCTTATGTAATAAATAATTATTTATGCTGACATATTGTCTTATATTGACCTTGACGAAAAATTAATGTTATCTACTTTTTTCCTTAAAATTACGAAGTATAATTTGAATAGAAGTTAGGTACCTACTATTATATAAACTGTACACGTTGAAAGATATCGATAAAGTAATATCTCGTGTGACTTGTGTAGCTCTACGTCATTTTATAATGACAATGACGTTCGTGGCGATTTTTTGACCTCCTAATTTAATTTTGATATGCTTCTCACGTAAGTACAAAAAAGTGTTGGAGACATGAAACTAGGTTTTTAATTCACTTGTCTCCTTATTAAAATTCACAATCGGTATCTATATAAGTATTTGGAATACTCCGAAAGTATAGGGTACTGAGGGTTACTATTTCATATGAAAAGTATGTAGATTAAATTACAATCAATCATCGTAGGTAAGCATGGGATTTAAATAATTAGTTTTATCTATGGTATCACCAGTCGACAGTACACGTTATATCTTGTAATATGTTGCTACGGATTATGTTTATTTATGAGTGCTTCAAAATGTAAAAGCCTAATTCTCCAGCTTAGTTAGCTAGCTAGTTATTAGTCGAATACTCTTGCTACATTTTGTTTTATTAGCATTTGGTATTTCCATATTCACGGATATTTATTACATACAATCGATCATTAGTATTTATGTAGGTAAATAAACTGTGGACTAGGTACTAACAGCTGACAATTAAGGATTCGATTTTGTTAAAACTTATAAAAACATGAAATTATCATCAAATGATTTAAGCTATTGTAATAAAGTGCTTCGACAGTTAGAAATGGATAGCATTGCGATTTCCATATCTTAACATCTTTATTGTCAGCCGGGGCTGCGGGGTAAGCGCAATGAGGTACCGCGACCTCGGCACAGAGCAGGAGAAGGAACAGGGGGGGGGGGGGGCTTTTAGTCAGTAAGAGTCTGACACTCCCTCCTGCCCGGCCCTGGGCGGGAGAAGTCATTTGATGATTTTCCCCTCACAAAAAATTAGGTGGGATAACAAATCATAATTTATTTAAATCTCTTTTTTAATTTATGTGAGTCTTTTTTATTACTTAGTGAAAACTTTTGAAGACTTGTAGCTTTTTGGGGAAAAGGGAGTATGCGATTTTAACTCGCAATTCTTTTGGTCTCGATAGATTTTAAACTTACTAAAACCACTTCTGTGGCTACCCGCAGCATCTGTACAGGACAACGGGCTCTATAGACCTGTTCCGGAATGTTAATGAGTGCTAATTTATAGACAAAATTACGGTTATTAATCATCGCTTACGTTACCATTGCGTACCATGCGTTTGGTTGTAACAGCATTTAAATTTCAAACTGATTCGTCATTGTTAAACAGGACTTTATTCCTTTAGTCGCTGTGATTGGCTTGCTCGAATTCAGCCAACCAATCAGAAAATTTAGACACACTACACAGTGCGCATTAAAATAGAATCACAAAATAAATAGAAACGTAAATTAAAGCTGCTAGAAAACTCGGCGTTCTTGCAAAAGACCGACGATACTTCACACCGAGTCAGCTTCTAATGTTGTACAAAGCACAGGTCCGATCGTGTGTGGAGTACTGCAGCCACATATGGGCTGGTGCTGCAAAATGCCACCCAGCGGCTTTGGATTCAGTGGAAAGGCGTGCAAAGAGGCTGATTGGTGATCCGGATTTGGTTGGGTCCAATCTTCAAAGTCTCGAGCACAGGCGCAGAGTAGCCAGCCTTGCGGTGTTCTACAGGATGCATTTTGGAGAGTGTGCGCAGGAATTGCACGATTTGATTCCGCCATCCCAATTTCACCTTCGGACATCCCGGCGTACGGCAAATATCCACCCTTACGATGTTGAGACACCTGGGGCCCGGACTAAGC